CAAAAAATTAGTCAAGAGGAATGTGCTAAGTCTACTGTTAGGAAGATAATTTGTAAAATAGAGAGTTGAGGTAGAACGCAATATTGTCTTCATCGTCTTCTATGATAATTCTCAGAAGAATGAGAACGATAAGACTTTTACATTGGAAAATAAGATAAGACAGGAACTACTCAATGTGATGTAAGTCTGATCACATTTTTTTATACTTATATTAAGACTAAGCAATCTACAAAAGAAGACTCCGGTGAACCTTCCTAGTAATGCAGTTTTCAAATATATTCTTGATGAGTACCGAATACAAGGTCTCTGAACTAGCCTCATTCACTATTATCTGTACTTCACCTTAATTCCCATTGCAATCATAGCTAATCAGAAGAGACAAGTCACTAGGAACTTGAACGAATGATGGAGACCGCAAACACGCAAGTCGTTAAAAATATTTGGTTTTTCTGTCATTATTGACTCAGCTATTATCGGGGCAAGCACTTTAGAAAGGTTGCGTGCGAGTCTAGATTCTGCTTACTAGATTGATCAGGGCTTTAGAGTCGCATCACTTTAAGTAAACCTATCTTATATAAATGTTAATTTTAGAGATGCTATACGTTTTTATGGATGGAAATTCGCCTGCAAAAAGAACACATTTAGTCTTGACGATTTTTATGGTTATTAGAATTCCTATGCTCTAAAGAGTCCCCTGTCTTTTAATGTCGTATCCGTATTTTTCCTAGTGCTTGGTCCAGCAACATCGCATTTTCAACCTACTCAACTTTCAAAAATAAACGAGATCTATTTTTGCAGAAAAGATTCACTATAAGCGTTCTCGCCTTAATAAATAATCTTCATTTTTTTTCACATCTGTTTAACACATGGTTAGTTGAGGAGCCTTGATAACTACAAAGGATGCATAATACTGTACATTTTTTTACTTTTTGAATATATTAGTGCTTTACAAAAGCACTTTTATGGATCATCTCTTTCCGGTCTGCAAGCCCCTTGGGATGTTTTCTCCATTAGGCAGTGATCTATTCTTTCCTACGTGATTTCTGGCTGAAATGGAATCCTCTTAATCATTAGCAAACAGTTGTACTGGCAGAAGTAGTGAAACCATAATTGGCAAGTGTATTATACATCGTAGGGTTAATCGAAGGTATGAAGACCAAGATGGTGTGTCTTTTTGTAAGGTCGCGGTCTCTTTTCGTTGTATAGAAGTTGTTTGACCTTATTTTTGCAACTTGGTCATATTGGTAGGAAGACCTAAAGGAACGCACCTAGTCCGGAGTTCATAGTATACATGATAATTTCCAGTCTAGAAAGGGCCAAGGAGCGGTTTCATCTGAAAAATTGAGGGCACTGTTTAATTGGAATACCACAGTTGATATATGCATGCTGGACCAGCCAATCAACATCATTCAACGACACCTTAACAAGTAGTATAGCTAAATTCGGCAAAAGCCGGACGAGCTGTGATCAATTAAGCCTGGGCCCTACTCAACCGTAGCTTATAGGAAAGGCTTCATGGATTCCGAATAGGTACCAAATCTAAGTGTGAAACAGCATTCTCCCTTCTTGTACTTGTTAAACAACCTTTCAATGGTTACAGTGTATTTACTGGGATAGTTCTTAGAATTTGCTTGCTTTGCCTGTTGATTTTTTTTATCTCAACATAAATTATCCACGATAGAATGCCAGACCAACGGATTCAAGGCTAAATGTATTCTTTAAATCATTTTCATACCTTATGTATGGACTATTGGGAATATACTTTAGTAAGTATGGTACTCTGTGCACAAATTTGTTGAAGCGAACCTGGAACTCTGCAGAGGTCAACCTCACTGGCTTCTCCAGACTATGTTCGCCTGGCAACTGAAGTATTTCCCTCCCCCTTTCCCTCAGTTGCTACGAGAAGTATGTCGAAAGTGAGCGATTTCTCGCCACGGCAGCTAGAGGGATTTTTCGTATAAGTAGAGTTTCATCACCTCAAACGAACTGGGGTGAATACTTCTCATATAGCTAGAATGATTGTCAAACCCGTTAGCAGTCCTTGAAACTTCCTAAAGCGATATATAGAAATACTAATAGCATCAGAACCTACTCATTCAGTATACTGCTACTGAGATGCATTTCATGACTGTTCTTCAGCTTATTAATAGCAATGAAGGACATTGCATATTTTTCAACTATTTTGAATTTGACCGATAAATGTATGCAAAAGTCACAGATGTTGTTTGTTGAAATTGGAGGCAGTCGATATTGTGAAATATGAATACGAATGAGTTTGATTAGCTGAGGTTATGAGAGATAAATATTTTCTAATATTTAGAATAATATGAAACATATCTCATGTCTACGATGAAATATTAGTTTGTTGAAAAGGAAGATAGTTTTCGATGTATCTCTTGACTTATTGTTCCTCAGCTTGCTGACGAAATCCGCACTGTCGGAAATCTAAAGTTAACGCCTTTTGTCAAATTAAAAGGCCTAAAATGTCTCTAGTTCATACAAAAATGATCTACTCATGCTTCCAAACTAATTCATCAAATTGATCAATTTTTCAAAAGACGGTTATGAGAAGCCGCAGTAACTTAGGCGAACTGTACAGAATATTTCAGGAATCTTCCACATGCCTTCTTTTCAGCTTAAATGTAGCTCACATTTTAGCAAGCTAGAATGGACTTTTTAATACTTCACAAATTGTTTTAATTCACATTTTCGTCAGAAAATAAGCGCTTTGCAGGTAATGTAGATGTTTGTTATTGTTATCTTCGGATTCGCAACCAATCACGCATGCACTCTGATGGCAAAATGACATTAAACTGTCTGATTTTCCCCAAGCTTAGTGTAAAAAATCTCCTAAACCCCCATTTTCTGCCCTTAGTCTAATTTGTACTGATTACATTAACTGAGGACTGCAGCTAAATTACTAAAGAATGTCCGTTTGCCCAAGAAAATGTGGGCTGCAAATATGTCAAATTTAAGACACTATAGGCATCTTAATTAGCCGTTGTTCTTTATAAACTGCCTTGAAAAAAAAGCATGGGTTTGCAAAATGGTCAAAAATAAATCGCTTAAAATTTCAAGTGATGCTTTGCACCCACCATGACTACAAGGCTGCGCATCATCATCAGCGAAGTCTTCTTCCTCCGTGCCAGGCATATATCGTTTCAAGATCCCATTTTATTTACTGACTTATTCTTTAAGATAAATAAAACCGCTATCAGAGCAGTTTGATATATCACGTCTTTCTACCTCTGGCTTTACGAATAAAGACTTGGATAAGAACTTGGTCATTACAAGTTGCGTAAAGTTATTTGACAACTGATATAATGGATATTCGTATGATATGATGGAGCTTTTTCCACAAGTTCCTATTCAAAATATGATGTTTGTTTTCTGAAATTAGGCTCAAAGCTGGAGGGGAAGAACTGTAGTCACCTTAGGTCACATAAGGTAATCAATAATTGATAATGAATTTTCCCTTCAGTGATTTGAGCAGACCCAAAGATGCCGTTCTTTTTTAATTAGTTTTGACTCCCAGAACGAATTAACCTCTAAGGGGGACTACAGTTTCAAACTTGCCTTGCACTCAGCACCATTTATGAGGTGAATCGAATCCAGTCGCTCTTTGTAGTACAGGTTTGTTGCAGAAGTTGAGGTTAGATACTCCAATGTCCTCGGTCGGTTGTTGCGTCACCAACAAAGCAGCCTCCCTACAATCCCTTGGATAATGGGGAAGCGCATCACTCTCTTACCTATCGACTCATCTGTGGAATGTCGGTAATATGCGAAAGAATCGATTCTGAGAGCATATACCTTTTCAACGTTGTGCATCCATCCTCCTACTTCCGATCTGCTCCACTTTGTGCACACTGGCCTGTAGGCGAAAAGTTCACATCTGCCTCCATCATACAGAGCCCACCCACTCTTAAAGATGTTGCACCGGTTGCTCAACCCTTCAGAGGCCAGAAACCGGGGCCCACTTGGATGCTGATACAATTACGAGCTGTACATGTGAGCTGTCGTCTTTCCAGGCCAGGCGTTGGCCGCGAGCTGGGCTCTCGAGTCGTGGCCCGTCGCCGCGACGAGAACCGTCTGCTCTGGCCACGCGCCGTCGAGCGACGGGCTCAGACCAACAATTCACTCTTCAAATATTCTCCTCCAAAAGCCCGAGCTCAGAGGCTGGTCTCACCTCGCTTCAGGGTACGCCCAAGGCTGCACTCAGCCGGATCGATTTCCTCCTACTCGCCTGGCCTAAGCTCGGGCTGAGAGACGCTCCGGTGTGTCGGGCCGCGGAGAGAACTGCATAGACAGACGCACCGATAGGCGGTGAGCAGAAAGGGCGCAGCTGGGCCTGGCTTAGTGAAATTCTGGCGGCACTGAATGCACACCGAGTGTTATTGCAGCCTGTGTGCGTGTGCGAATGAGTGCGTGAGTGAGTGAATGAGTGCGTGCGTGCGTGCGTGCGTGTGTGGGTGCACGTGAGTGTGCTGGCGCCTCGTGCGTGATTCTGTGTGCATATGCCTATGCAAGTAGGGATGCGGGCGGCTGTATTTGAATTGGCATCGTGGTAGATTATATCAATATACCTGTGTGTGTGTATATATATATATATATATACGTGCGTGCGTGCGTGAGTGCGCTTTAGTCGTGTCATGGCTGGGCTTGTCATCGCGAGACTAGGCGGAATTTTCAAAATGCCCCTTATTAGGGGTCTTCGACGCGTTGATGGCTATCGTCGGTCCTCTTCTGCATCAACACACCCATTCATCGTTTTGCCTTTGCACATCTGGTTAGGAAGGGCT